TACACAAACACACACTGTGTCCCGTTGTCCCACAACAAATGGAAGCCCTGCCCACAAAGCCCACAAAGGAACACACCTCCCCCCTAGCACCCCTCCTTCACACAAACCAGTATGGCAAACCCCCCCCCCCCCCAAACACTGGCATTTCCCTGTAAAACAAACCAGCCCTGCTGAACAGGATTGGCAGGCTCCCTCCCGCTCGCACACCGCCAGTGCAGCTACACACAGCACGTAAACACGAGCTCGGGGCCTGACATGTAGTAAAACGCGTACACGTGGGGGGAGCCCTGGGGTTAGAGCCCAGTCACGGCCCCATGGCCATGTTCAGTGCCGCTGGCAGCGTCGCAGGGACCTTTGGACTGTAAGTTGGCTGTGCTGAGTGCAATGATAAGAATGACAACAAGACTGTGTATTGTTCGTCAGAATGATAAACAGCGAGCTAAGAACCGGACTCCCCGACCTGCGAGGTGCAGTCAGAAACAGCCCTGCTTTGCCAACGGCTTTTTTTGTCCTGAGTCTAAACTGCATGATTTTTATTACCACTTAATCTACGTTACCGCAGCCGAGAACTCAATGTCTCGTCGCAGTATTATTGTCTTTTCCACTTTCAGTGTAATCTGACTCACCAGGTAGCACCGGGTAACCATCCAAAGCGTGATTAAGTGACTTGCTGTCTCTGAATTGCCCCTATTGTGTGAGTGTGTGTGTCCAATGATGGACTGGCCTGCAGCCCTGAGTGTCCCCTGCCATGTACCGTGTGCTGCCTGCAATATGCTCCCTATCATCAGGCACCAGGGGTCTGGGATGGTGTGAGGTTCTGCAGCTTCAGAAGGTTGTTGGTTTTAATCTCATGCTCAGCAAATCTGATCACATCTGCACTGAGCACCGATCTGTCTGGCTTTCTTTTTGTCCCACCAGAGCCCTGGGTGTCAATAAATCATGGACTGAGGATCACTAATTCACCAGAACACATGTCTAGTCACTTTGGAACAACCACGAAAACATAAGGAGAACATGCGCGATGCACACAGAGACACATATAGCTGGAGCTCATTTATATCTGCAGGAAAACAAAGAAAAAATAAGCCCGTCCATAACCTTAAATTCACCTTGTGGAGACACTTAAACATCTAACCAAGAGAAGTTGACGCTTAAACCACAGAAAAGCCCTTGTCCACCTGCTGGCTATTTGGCAGGTTTACCTAAATGCGAAAAACCATGCATCTGATCTATGTATATCGTAATGTTAATAAACAAATTGCTACATTATGTATGGTTGCACGAATACGTTTAAAAAGCATACGTGTATTTATCAAATCACTACATTTAACTATACTAAGAGATGTCATGAGGGGGGAGAGTTATCAGGATTCTGTAATAGGTTTGGATCATAACCTGATTGGTCTGGGCTCTAGGCCTAATACGATATACACCAATGGGGCATAAAATCCCTAGCAACACCCCAGCTCATACCTGCATTCACCCATCTTCCAATATTCTACCAGTGTTGTTTTTTTAACACTATGCTGAAGGTAATTACGTTTTAAGCCCACTCATTTCATGATGGTCATCCAGTCAGGAAGCCACCGTGGATCCAGTGGGAAAGCACTGGATGATCTGAATTGACAAGGAAGTGATCACAAAGATTTAAGTCTGGGCAGGTCCCGCATTCAGCTTCCATTTAATCTCAAGTCATCTTTGGATTATGTCAGTCTCTAACTTAATCACCCTCACAGGTGCTTTGCATGCTATCGATAAAACACAACTAACAATTAAATACACCGGTAAGTATGGGATTCAAATGCTTATTTTGTGCATACAGAGCCACAGGAAAGGCTGTATTCTCTCTAGCGTCTCGACTGTCTATTGTGAATAAAAATGAAGTAAACCATTTAAATCCCTAAAGGTTACAGATAACAAACACAGCAAAAAATGTCAGCTCTAATGCTGTGTACCCTACATGCTTTGTCAATCATAAAAACCCAAAGTACTTTAACAGCTGACGTTATGGTGATACTGTTTGGAAGGAAACTCACAATCCGGAGCTGTAATGAGAAAAGGGGCAGAGATGCGATACCATGTCCATACCTGTGGAATTACGTAAATCTGTTTACCTTTTCAGTCAAAGTTTCTGTGCTTCCGCCAAATAATGTCAATGAGTATGACCATTTCTGATGGTCAGTAAATTGCAAAAAGTTGCAAATGGTCAGTAACCTATTTGTGTCGGTGAAATGTCCCATGTGGGAAATGGCTACTTCAGGGTGCAGACTTAGATCATCATCTTCTGGTCAGTTTGTCCGTCCTGAGATTTAAACTTTCCACCATGGGTGCTTGGGCATTTTGGGTTGCGGCCCCCAAGCTGTGGAATTCCCATCCCCAGAGCCTCTACTCCTCTTCCCATATTCAAAACTCAACTCAAGTCCCATCTCTTTTCTCTCTCCGCTACCCTGGTCATTGACTGTCAATTTGTCCATTCGTTTTCATCATGGTTTGAGTTAGTCTGCTGTATTTGTCATGTTATTAGTGATTATGTTGTATTTCTTCCATCTCTTATCTGTAATGATTACCTTTTTGTTTATTTACCATTCCTCTATAAAGTGTCCTTGGGTTGGTGAAAGACGCTATATAAATTAAACTTGCTGTTGTAGTTGTTGGAACATGTCATCATACGTTGCTCTCATGCAGAAATCTACCGTCAATTTAAATATTCGTTTGCAATATGTTGGTTTCGGATTAAATAGTGTCAGACATTCCGTACAGGTTTGGATCCTCCATCGTCACCTTACGTGACTCGCTAGTCCGCGGAAGGCAGAGGTCCATCTTAAAGTGCACAATCAGTCCTTGTTTTATTTTAATTTTTACACGATGTCTCCTTTATACGCTAACGTGTTTTTTAATTTTCAAATAACAAAATGGGGGAAAGCCCCATTCGTGGCGTGACTGAATTATTTGCATTACTTTATTATGTTATTTTCTTCCGATTTGTTCCCAGTCTTCTCGTAGAAGACCTGAGAAAATTGTCGTTTTTTCCTAATTCATTTACCACCGTCTATGGAAAAGTTGCACAAGGAAGACGCTTTCAGTTAGTAGGCTACGCTCTGTTGTGACTGTAGTTGTTTTTCTTGTTACTCTCCGTAAAAGTTGCAGAACAGGTTACAGTATAGCGACGTAAATAGCTACGTTTTTCCTCACTTTGTTACTAAGAGTTCATATTTAAAAATCACGATCTATACTTCCTCGTCACACTTCCAGAAAGAAAAGCCATGCATTTCTCAAACGTCACAATCGCCCGCATATTTCACACTTATTTGTTGATTAGTAAGTTTTGCCTGTTTGGTTAAATCCGATGCCAGTAACCATGAAACCTTTATTTTCCTGTGGGTCTGACTGGCGTTATTGGCTCTGACCGTCATAACTTTACACAGTGTTACTGATCGCCTTACCTTCCGTGGCCGGATCGCTCGCGGCTCCCACCAAAAGCACTGCTATCAGCAGGCAACTTCTCACCGCCTCCATAGATTCTTCTACAGCCGATCACTGCTTCATATTAACCGCAGTGTGCCCCTCCTGTCCGGCCCGTCCGCGACAATCACTGAACTTCAGCTCGTTGGAACGTCCGCAAGTGTATTTGCTGTTATCTGTTAGTTATTAACGAAGTACAGTCCGACCCAGATTTACCATGTCCCGATTGAAACTGTGAGATTGCTAGTAAAGATTGTCACCAAGGCCCGACCAGGGGAGTGGCGCTTCACTGTCCCGGCCCCGCCTCACTGAAGTCGCAAAGTCATTAAGTCTGGAATCTCTCTTTGACTCTATAGGTCCAAGTAACCAACAATTCAAATATCTAAAACCTTTTTGAAACGATACTGTCAGTGTTATAATATCATGAAGTGAAAGGTCCAAAAGTGGGCACTCTGAAACCTTTTCAAACACATGACACATTATGTTGCTCGTCTTTGAAGTGTGTTTTTTTTTAACAAATGTTAGAGAAATAAGACGAACATATGCGCAAAACTGTCAGATTTAAAATAAAATTGGGTGAGATTTCGCATCGATCCTTTCTCGAACCACTTGCACTGTTCTGAGCAGCCAAGCACATGAAGAATGACCTCCATTCATGACGCCCCCCCCCTCCCCGTCTCGGTCATAGTGCAACCCACGAGTAACTTACCACAGCAGCGCTGAAATATGTGCCTGTTTTTCTGCTCTCTGTCGCGTTTTTCTGCACTTCTACGGTCAATATGAAATTAACTAGGCGTATTTCGAATCATGCCTTTCCACGATCAATTATCTTATTCAGGCATTTATTCTTTTAACAACGTTCAGTGACTTTCTGTTCCCCTAACTTGCAAAAGGCAATTCTGATCTTTTTCCCCCTTGGTCGATGGTTGTGGTGTGTAGGGTGAGAATAGTTAAAATTGGACACCTGGCAAAACGGGACAGTTAAACTTCGCCCTTAATATGTGTTCAATAATACTTTATTTTCTCTTCTACATGGTGTTCAAGGGGGCAATAATGTAATTAGAATGGTATCAGTTTGTGATTCAGGACATTGAGATGATTCTGCAATTTTTTCCAGAAAGCAAATTTTCAGAAAGTGTCCCAATTTGACATACCGTAGTTTAAAATATACGAATTACCAGAACATGATGACTTGACTTAAAAAAACCTATAACTTGATAGATATTTTCTAAACTGTTATATTATTGAAGAGTGTTGATTTATTGATTTGCTGGTGTTCGGGGTCCACTCCTGGCCTGCGTTTCACCTCTTAACACCTCATAAATGGTGTCAGCTTTATCCTAACGGATGGTATCTATTAAGCGTAAGCCTTTCATCATGCTCGCAAATAATGCTGCATCCTGTAGATACTGTTTCTCCCAGTTGACACGCTGGTAAATTGAACCTAGTTATTTTAGACGGCTGCTCAAACAGGCTAATCTCCACTTTTGGAGCTAAAACATCTTCCTCAGGTCTGGGTACCCGGGGTACTCATCCCCAAACACTCTCCTGCCATTTTCCTCCACAACTCTCTTGCAACTTCACAAAACGATTTTGGTAATTAGACGTTAAATGTATTGTGGGCGGGGCTCAAGCTACTGCACCTACGGAATATCATGGATTAGTGACGTTGTATTTACTAAACATAGTACAAAAGATATATGGCATGAAGCCTAGCCTGTTTATGACCCCCTTAGTTATTCTAACAGATTTTAAAGCGTGAAAGCTGCGATGGTTGTTGTGCAGAATGTGTAACTGGGAGACACCAGGGGGCGCCATCGAGCCAAAAGTAGTCTGTTGTATTTTACCTTGTTGAATATGAAAAGAAACTAAAGCCTTGTCTTTCATCTGGCCTACACTAAAGGGCAAATAAGGAATAAATCATGTAAATATTTACCCAGCTCCTCCCCTCTGAGTTTTTGCCCTTGCAGAACTGACAATCAAGAAGTATGCTGTGAATTAAATTGAAGCTGTTTATATGTGTCTACTGGGCTCTGATAAAATGTGCTTCACCCCCCCTCCTGTCCCCAGACAGTTTTTGTGTGTCCAAGACACACACAACCATAAGAGCTGACAC